GAACAAAGCATGATTGCTTTTTTGAAATAAATGGGTTGTTGTTTCATGTGAGAACTTTAGACTTGATAGAGACATGTAAATTTAAGATGTTACTAAATCTTTTATTAAAATTACATATATCATAACTACTTTTCAGGTTTTTTGTTAAGAATTTCTGAGAAAATCTTATTTGAAAAGATACATTAGTTTTTTTAGGAGAAAGTTTACGAAAGCTAGATCACTAGATCTCGCTTTCGTAAACTTCCTCCGAAAAAAGACAGTTAAAACAAGTTTGTCGTCACTTTTTCCAGTCCAAATGGTTTGAATATGCTGAAAAAATATATATTTCTATTGATAAGAATAAGATCAATACATGATGGATTTACAACCGATTTAAAGCAAGTTAGTCTCTTTATTAGATCATAACATTGATTCAAGTGTAGAAATTTTTTCATGTAATTTTGAAAACGTTGTAAATTGAAATTCTAGATTATAGCTCTGCAAAAAGATATTAAGGGTGCCTCTTTAAAGTAAAAGAAGAAATAGTCATAACTCTGATTTGGATGTTTATACCGTGAGAAAGGCACTACTGTGATTTTTGCAAAATTAGGTTAATTTTCAATGTTGCTTTATTAGAAAATAAAATATTTTTTATATTGTTTTATACAAATTTACTAATTTAAGTAATATCATTACTGTGCCATATATACAATATGTACAATGTGTATATTGTACAATGCGTTTTATTATATAATCTTCATCCTGTAAATTTTTAACTTTTAATTTTAACTTGTAACATAAACTAAAGGCGACAATGTAAACGGGGCTCGGCGATAAGACAATATACGTCTTCTTCTTGCTCCGGCCATTTATTTTACTTGGACGATCTTTTTTATTGTAAATTTTGTTAAACGGCAAAATATATATATATATATATATATATATATATATATATATATATATATATATATATATATATATATATATATATATATATATATATATATATATATATATATATATATATATATATATATATATATATATATATATATATATATATATATATATATATATATATATATATATATATATATATATAATAAAGCAAATATGATTTATAATATATTATTAAAAAGATTTCTATTTCAATTCATGAGATGTTTTCTATCCGTGAAATAAATTTTCTTTTACTTTCTTAAAAAACTTTTTTACAGTTTAAAAAAAAAAATCGTGTATTTTTTTTTTTTTTTGACTGAAAATAAATTTTTTTTTTTTTCGATAAAAATGTAATAGTAAAAACATAACATTTTTTTGAATTTTAATAAAAAAACAATATTTTTTTGTCTGACATAGTGAAATCCTTGAAATGGTAGGTGATTACGAAAATTATGTAAATTGGCACTTTCCAAAAATTATGCAAATTATAATAAAAATAAATTTACGAAAATTATGTAAATTATAATAAAAATAAATTTACTCATGCCGATCCTTTACTTAAATCTTTAAACGCACTAAATATCTATCAAATTAATAAATACCAAAATATTTTATTTATGTTGAAATACAAACTTACGGACTAGTTCCAAATTATTTTTCTAATAACTTTTTTCAAATTAACGCTAATATGTATACTACAAGAGGAACGGGAAATTTCACGTTGCCTATAAAAAAAAAAAAAATTTCGCAATAAGCAATTGTATACCGTGGGCCTTTCCTATATAACGAAGTCACACCCCAAAATATAGAACTTAGTAATTCTGGTAATCTTTATACTTTGAAGAAAAATCTTAAACATCTCATAATTAACTCAACAAATTTTATCAATATGTTTTAAACATATTTGACAAGAAAGTGAAAAAAAAAGAAAAAATAACAAAATCCAAAATTCTTATACAACACCTACTAATTTTAATATCTCAATATTTTTATGTGTATTACTCTAGTAATGTCACTTAACAAGTTTGCTTTTTAATTTTTTACTTATTTTATGTCTCAAAGGTTCTCGATGACAAGACTTCTTTAAGTCTTCTGCGAGTTTCCTTACAACATCACAATTATTTTACCAAATTGTTTTATCAAATTTATTATCATAAAATATATTAAACATTTACTTTGTATTTAACACAGTGTGTTTGGCAATATATTTTTAACGATTTATATATGTATACATTTATTTTTGTTTTCTCTATGACTATATATTATGTCAAGAGAAGGAATTGTAACAATAGTTTATAAAGTTGTAAAAAATCATGAAGAAAAAAAAATAAAAAAAATCAAACTAGTTACAACTATGCACACTCATACACAATACAAATTGTTCAATAATAGAGCCAACCGAGTTTTATCCTAGTCAATAGAAGAAATAACCCTGGTCTTAAAAAGCTATTGCTTAAATTTCATTTATAAACTTATATTGAATTTTAAGAAATATTTGACACAATTTAATCAGCGATTACAGCTAGTACAAAAGAAACTTTAAAAATGACGTATTTGGAAACGTTTTTTTACAGGCTTGATTGTATAATTTATAAATTAATAATGGTATATTTAATTTATTTATATAATTTAATTACCATTATATATATATATATATATATATATATATATATATATATATATATATATATATATATATATATATATATATATATCTATATATTATATATATATATATATATATATATATATATATATATATATATATATATATATATATATATATATATATATATATATATATATATATATATATATATATATATATATATGTATATAT